GCCAGCGAGGTATTTGCTTGAAGCAAGTTTTCCGCAGGGATCCCAAGTTTGCGCTCTGTCGCTTTTGTCGACTTTGTCCGTGGTCAGTGTCGAGCGGAGGTACCGCAAACAGAGCAAATACTGGCAAATGACCAAGTTTTTTGTTTTTTTCCTTAATGCGTTAAGGAAGTCTTTTTGTTCTTTAAGTAAAGTAGTCTGCTCGCGGTCTTGCAAGCCTTACTAAGAAAAATATATATATATTTACAATTACTCTAGTTCCCTTACAAAAAGTGTTTCTATTAATCTCCAGATTACTCAATAGAAAAATTACCTAAATGGCTGCGAAAGTCATTGAAACCGTTTGGGTCAAGTGATAATTGTTGCTTGTCATATCTTTCTATCTGTAGTTTTTAATAGAGGCTATACGCCTGTAGCTCAGGGCTTTACAAATGCTCTATCTTTGTTTCTCCTACAACACTTGTTTGGCTTTTGTTGTTTTCTTTCGTGCAAGATGAAGCCAAAAACTGATCCCGCCTACAAGACGATCCGTCGGGCAGCAGAAGCAGACAGAGTACATTTCTGGATTTTCACTGCGTCTCTCAGATGGCGCTACTGTCAATGACAAGCGCCTGACAGGCAGTAAAATGTCGACGTAAACCTTAGCAGTGCTGCTCATTGACAGTAACGCCATCTGAAAGATGGCTCGAAAAATAGATTCCTTCCGTCCGTTTCTGCAGCCCTGATCTACCAGGCAGAGACGTGCCCCGTGAATGTAAAGCGCTGAAGTAATTGCATCTGCCAATAAAGGTTTACATTACTGGAGGCACAGACATCTCCTGATATCCACCATTTTCGTCCTCCCAAAAGTAAACAATCAAACAAAACCGACGGCGTTCTCTCGTGGGCGGAAGAGGATTTTCGCTCGCAACTATCTAATACAGTAGGGGTAATTGTAATCGTGTTGTGGGTATGTTTAGACAGCGGGAAATTAGTCAGCCCTAATGAGCGCCTCCGACGTAGATGATATATTTAGCCAGTGGAGTACGACTGCCAGGCTAGGGTTTACTACTATTGATAGAATGCCACTTCGTCGAAGCACATTTTAGAGAACGGGCAAGTTTTATCGAAGCGCAGTTTAGAGAAAGCAGAGCCTCAGTTTAGAGAAATGCCGTTTATCGAAAAGGGGACGCTATTTAAAAAAAGGGTTTTCTACTTCGCGCGTGTATCCCTGGTGCGCGTGTTAACCCAGGCCCTCCGCTGCGCTCCCGCCGCTTCGCGGCGGCAGTCTGCGGCGGCTCATTACAAAAATGTTAACTCACCTGACTTATCTGCACACGCCGCTTCGCGGCGGCCGAATTCGCTATAAGGAGGTTCACCGCCATTTTGTCTAAACTGGGTTTCTCTATAAAAGAATTCGATAAACCGGGGTCGGTAAAACGGCGTTCGCTAAAACGAGCTTTTCTAAACCGCATGACTCCGTCTATAACACGCATCATGCATCACGTTTCACGAACGCGCGCCGGTGCGATGCCCATCCAGATCAAAAGGTCCCTTCGGTTCCGATAAGTGTAAGCTTTAAAACTTTGGAAGATCATTACAACCGCTGCTGCTGCATCCTGGTGCACTCTAAACCTTCGACAATTATTAACTAATTAAAAGACGGCTGTCTTCCCTGTACGCTGCTCAATCCATTAGTCCTCCCGTTAGCTGAAAGAGCGGAGACGAAATCCTCATACGATTTCAGCGAAAGCATATGAAATCTCAATCTCCACAAACAAACATGGGCTTACAAAACGCAGTAAAAGGAAACAAAATAAGCCATCGGCAACGCGAAGGGTTAGCAGACGGTCACAGCCGCAAGGGGGCGCCATATTGACGCAGCTCATTCCAGAGAGCCTAAATTTAAGAGAGGGTGCAACTCAAACCACGGAGAGGGTTTGTAATTTAATGGCAGACGCCTTGTGAAGAGATTCTTCGCAAATACGCGTGCGTTGCGCTGTCGCGTGGCGAGGAGGCAAGCAGGTGGAAAGGCGAAGACGATCGCAGACGACCAACGCTTTTGACACCTCTTCGCAGCTAGCACTGCAAACGCGGCCCACAAACCACGTGACATTGATCGAGCAGTTGGACACACTCTGAAATATAGGCACACGCGTTCATTCTGTTCTCAGGTTTCGCCTAATTAAACGGTTCCGCGGGCCTCTTTGTACTTCTCTGCAATGTGCTTCTTATGCAAAAGACTTCCAGACTCCTTCTTTTTTAGCTTTTCTTAGTTTTTTTCTGCTCGGCGGCATCCTATTATGTCTGGAAGGGGTCGTTTCAGCGGGACGCAAAGTCTGTGGCAGTCTGGCGGAGGAATGGAGATTGCTCCGCTCGGATTCCCTTCATCCAATCACAGAGAGGCACTACTAGACGAATGACGTTGAGACCTTCAGCCATTTTGTTTTAATTCTTGTTTTACCTTTACCGTTTTTCTGTAGGGCAGTACAGTATGGAACAATCGCAAAAGCCACAAAAATGTATCGTTGAATTTTAAGATTCGCATCACCAACTTAAGCGAAGCTTCCGTCAAATTTATTTCTTGTCCTTGCACTTAGAAAGCGAACATTAATCAGTGTCAGAGATCGCGTTTTTGTTCGTCCGTGGCTTCAGACAGTACGCACCACTTCAGCAGGTGCAGTTATTCAAATCTCTATGATACCCCTAGCGGTCCTCCAGAAAAATAAACAATGATGATGATGATGATGATCCCTCACTGTTCAATTGCATCTGTCGAATATATCGTACTCAAAAGTAGCAGAGCTACACTGCCACTCATGATGAGCCGCAAATACTTGCACGGTATTTTCTTGACGATCCGCCAAGGTAAAGCGGTTAGCAACCGACGCTATTCCATGATTACCGTAATTGACATAACAATTTAAAGATCTACGAGACTGACCCCTGAATTTATAGACTGACCACTCAATTTATAGACGTTTTTCGTTTCATTTTGTTCTCAGTCACGTGGGATCTGTATCTGGTATGCGGGACGAAAAAAATAATCAAACAATTCAATTTGGAATACGCAAAAACATATAGGGCAGGCCAAAAAAGAATGTGTGAAAAATCACGCATTTTTACGTGAACACCTTCCAGCGGCGTAGAGAGACCAAAACGATGTTTTAACGCATATACCAAAAGTGACGACATTTAAGATGGCTGCGATTTTGTATAAAAGGTGTATGTATAATCTGCGCTGGGGACACTAAGCAGGAAAAACATGGCACTTTTATTTATGTTCGATTTTTTTTTCTGGGGCTTGTTTTTTGCCGTGATTCTTCAGATTGACATTATATGTGTTTACGAAGATATACTCGTAGATAGGAAAACTGTATTCAAAGTGTAGCCCAGCGACTACATTATGAACACATTAATTTCTACAGAGCAACCCCGAAAGAGGGAGGAAATAAAGAGAGAGGGAGAGATATACCGAACTTGCGCATTTACTTTTGGGATAAAAGCCGAATGCTATTGTTGACGTGACAACAGACTAAGTTCAAGCACGCGACCGGTGCCAGCAACAGAGCGGTACCGGCAAGCTAGCTTCCCTGCCTCATAGCGTTTCAGTGTGGCGAAGCACACTTACCGACGGCAGTTGCACCCAGCTTGTTGCGCAGTGGCACCGGCAGGCAAACGTTGTAAATAGTTTAGATCTTTCAACGCTCTCCTGAAATTCGTATGTACACACATGAAAATTTATATTTTACGAATTTATTCAAAATTCAGCTGTACTTCCCTGTGCAAGCGAAGACTCTTAATTGAAACTAGAGTTGGAACTGCACACCCGACTTCAGATTCAGATTGACATGAATATGTGGGCATTTGCGAGGAAATTGTTGTGAATAAAAACACGAGAAAAATGCAGGCAAACATTAAGATTCTAGGTTAGCTCCTGTAATGTGTCGGCTTAAATTCTTTTAGGCAGCAGAGACACGAATCGTCAAATTTAAAAGGAGGCAAAATTCTCCCTGTCTAAATCTGAGTACAGCCGATTCGTCACTAATTTTCACTCGAGAAGATGTCGCACTAAGCTAAAGTTACTTTCTCGTGTGAATATGTCTTGTCAACATAAATCCACACAGAGAGAAAAGCTATTTTATCCAGTGGCAAATATCGAACTCATACTTTTCTTTTTTTTTTCTCGGAAGAGGTGCGTGTTTTATTGTCAAGAGCTGCGCGCAGACTCCTCGGCTTCACTGTCTGAGCCCGATTCTTAGCTCATCTCGGAACGTTGTTCAAAGACAAAGGGCGGCCTTTGTCGGGGTGACAGCTGACTCAGAGAGCGCCCAAGGATCCCGCGTGTCGGGATCAGCAGTTGCTCGTGTCCCAACTCTCACTTTCAACAGAAGTCAGCACGAGTGGGCAACAGCCCTCCCTCCCGCAACGCACGGCGAGTGATGCAAGAGAACTCCGCGCCAGCCATCCTCCAATGCTCAACGTCCCACCCCGCTACTGCAAAGGGAAACAAGGATGTAAGAAAATCGGCGCACGGTGCAATAGACTCAAAGTCCATCGCACATTCACCGATCAACGTTCACTTCAGAGTCAGCACCGCCGGGAGCATGCAACGCTCCCCACTATAAGCAAATTCCGGGCTGTTGTCAGGCGCAAGTCCTCAGCACTTTGGCGTGCTCGCGTATAACTCTATCGAACTACCGGCGGAATATTGATTACGCTGCTCGTCTGGCATAACCTTACTATCGAGGTTTTTATGTTGTAGCTTCCACCTAAACGCTACGAAGAAAAAAAAAAAAGATAGCGTATAATGTGTTCATATTTTCGCGAGCCCGAGGTAAACACGCGATCCGCCTTGGAACAGTTGCTCCACTGACAGATGAAACGGCGAGCGTGCCAGGTCTCATTCTACCCCGAGAGAAAAAAAAAATCTCTAAAACAAATAGCACTCTCAACCGTGTTTGTCGATATCTAGGGTTAAGCTTCGGGTGGTTACGGGGCAGAAGGTAAGAAAAAAGGCTTACGGTGGCGGTGCGGTGACCAGAAGGAGCCAGGGTTCCGATCTTGTGGGGGTGGTGGCCGTTGAACGCTGTGCTTGCTGCAGAGCGCGAGCGCTTCTGAATCAGCTGGTTTCCGCTCGCCCGTCGAAGCCTGCGCGGACTCGGCGGTGTGGAGAGCGAACACTAGTGGGGAAACTGCGCCCGCGCAGGCGAATGGTCTCGCGAGATCTCGTGAGAAGTCACGCGAGGCTCGACGAGAGGGAGAGTTCTGGGAGGAAGCGGTCGGCTTCCGGAGCAAGCAGACGATGGTCGGTCGCAGTGAGCGCGGCGCGGTTGTGCGCGCTTGGGGGGATTCGAAAGCCTAGATGTAAGAGAGGGAGCAACTCAAACCATAAAGAGCGTTTGCAATTTAATGGTGGACGCTCCTGCGCAGATTGGTCGCATTGCGCATGTGCCGCCTTGTCACCTGGCAAGGAGAAAAGCGGGCAGAGAGGCAGAGACGATTGCAGACGATCGCCGCGTTGGTAACCTCCTTGCAGCTCGTGTTGCAAACGCGGCCCTTAAACCATCTGACCCTGATCGTGCAGTTGGAAACACTCTCAAATCTAGGCACACCATGAGGGATACGCCGCGGTGCTTTTGCAATGATGGGTCTAAAATAGGCTCCAGTCTACTTTAAAATGCGTTGTTGTTGGGGTGAGCATTCGTTTTCGTAAGCGCGCGGTTACGTCGAGAGCGAGCCAATGTGTTGCGATGTGAATCGCGATTGTTTCTCGAATGTGACGGGTGCAGTGGATTGAAGTGCGCGTGCCAAGTTGGAATTCTGCAGAAGGTTTCGCGGGGGTATCCTACGACGCTTTTCGCATTTTATGTCCCTTTTCAGCGACGTGGTTGGGACTTCGCGGATTTCGAAGTCGCAACTACGTTTGCTTTGCAACAGCAAAGCATTCTTTGGCTGAAAGATGACGGACGAGAGCAAGTTCGAAACGTCTATTTTCTTTCACGCACAAAACTGTGATTTGGTTATTTACTTTAAACTTAATTTGAATAAATAAAGGGCGCAAGGAGCACGGGTAATCTTTTCTTTTTTTTTTCTACAGGCGCTTGGAATGGCTGCAGTCTCACTTTTACTTTTAAAGTTCCTCAGAGAAAACGAGCTTCCAAAAAAGATTTCACCGTAATTTTGATAGCACCATTTTAATTCAATTTTATTTTAACTCGAATATGTGGATAACAAAAAATGAAAGACGTTTACAGTTCTCTGTAATGCGAAATTAGAGCCCAGCTGTTGAGGAGGAGGAATTCCCCTCCCCCTCACCTCCTCCCTTCCTTGTTAGCGGGAAATTTAGCGAAACTTTCCCCGCTAAATTTACTGGGTTAAGTTTCCCCGCTAGATTTAGCGGGTTAAGTTTTCCCGCTACTTTAGCGGGGAAATTGACGTCACGTGACCTCAACACCAATTAAGTTTCCCCGCTAAGTTTAGCGGGGAGGCTGTGACGTCCCATAATGCAACGCGCGCAATTACGCCGACGCCGACGCCACTCAACCACGAAACGGGCGCCTTGGAGCTGCGTACTAAAAAGTGACAGTATTTTCTTGAAACAAGTTTTGATTCTATATTTCGTCTTCGAAATGTTATCTTTATATGGGATATAATGAATATTGGTGACAATCATCTATTTAGAATAGAAAAAAGTGGACAACCATTTACAAATTTCTGTAACGCGAAATTAGAGCGCAGCTCTTGGGGAGGAAGGGAGGGTACGGAGGGGTGGGTATGCCCCTCCTCTTCCTCTCCTCCTTCCGTCGTCCTCCTCCTCCTGCGTACCCTCAAATCCTTCTCCTCCATATCCTCCCCTCCTCCCAGTTTCCCTGCTAAATTTAGCTGAAAAATTGACGTCACGTGACCTCAGCAGCAATTCAATTCTCCGCTAATTTAGCGAGGAATTGAATTTCTGTAGAGTTCACGGGACGTCAATTTTCCCCCTAAATCTAGAGGATAAACTGAATTTGTTCGTAGGTGACGTGACACCAAGTCATGTGACGTCTTTTTTCCCCGCTAAATGTAGCGCGGTTACGCCGACGCCGGGCACCCGGGAACGGGCGCCTAAGAGCTGCGCTCTAAGACATGAATGCCTGTATTCCCAGCAAATCCATTTTGTGTTATAAAAAATGAAATTAACCCCGGATGGACTTGAAAAATAAGCCTAACCTAAACCTTCTGGGCAAAGTATTTCTGCAAAAATACTCACTTCATTATGCAACTGCAATGGACACTCCATTATTGTGTTAAAACACCTGAGACTGGGTGCGAGGAAACTTGAAATAACCAAAAAAGTAGAAGAGACAAGGGAATAAGTCAGTCTTCGACCTCTCAAATTCAGCTAATATGTTTATTAGTAAACCTCTTATAAACACTTTGAAATCAGTCCACGTTAATTACATTTCTATGATTAGGGCTCCGTGTTTTCGGATAAAGCCGAAAAACTGCGAAAAACACCCGCCAATAAACTTTTTGTCAATTCGGATTCATCCGATAAACTCTGAATTTTCATGTGCCCATGCCCCCCCCCCCCCCCCCAACAACTACAAAAAAAAAAATAATAATAATCATTATTATTTTTTACAATTTGAGCAGCGCAGGATTAATGGTCCTGGGATAATGAAACCATAATTATCTTTCAAGCCACATACCGTTGTCAAAAGGGGGTCTTACGGCTTGTCTCGTAACAGGTCATCGTACACCATTCGTGTAACGACAAAAGCCACCCTTTTGGTTTCTAGTTTGCGCCATGGGATTTAGAGAAAGGAGAGGGTATGTTTCTGTGGTAACAGTGAAAGCTATGGACCATAAAGATTGTTTAAAATAGGGAAGAGGGGCAGTTGAAACTACCTATTACGTCCTTAACCACTCCACCTCGCGCGGCCGCGGGATAGATTGATGGGATGACTACGAGCTTCCCTGCGGCTACCTCCGGCAGTTTATTGATTTTAAGGTATCGACGTTTATCGAAGCCACACTTGTGTGCGACTTTTCTTGTGGGACAAATTAGTATTGCCAATGACACCAACGCCAACTTCAACTGAAGATACTTTAATTGATACAAGCGCGCTTTATTTCTATCTGGCATACGTTTGCATCCGGTTAATTTTTATTATTTTTTTTTAATAGGAAACACTGCGAAATTAATCTCCGAATTTCGGAGAATTGGGGATTTACGAAAAACAAACTCCGATAAACACCGAATTTTTGCTAAAAAATAAACTCCGAAAAACACCCTCCGAATTTCACGAAAAATGAACTCCGAAAACACGGAGCCCTAGTCATGATATTTCATCATATCAGCTCATTATATAGAGTTTCCCCATATCATTAGAAGAAATTATAGTTGTTTCATCAACACCTTTTAGATAAATCAATTCTATAGAAACGGTTCATATGCCTATCATGTCGTATTACACCTGAGACTGCGGTGGAAGAAATCGGAAGAACTTTCAGTAGAAGGGACAGACACAGAGAACGTCATTGAGACGTTCTCTGTGTCTGTTCCTTCTACTGAAAGTTCTTCCGATTTCTTCCACCGCAGTCTCAGGTGTAATACGACATGATTAGCTACCACCAGCTCGCCTGCACTCTCACCGTCTTTTCATATGCCTAAATTGCATTGCGACTTGTCTTGATGAACATATTTAAGTGAAGGCTCCATTTTTCAGCAATCCTTAAACCTTGCTTGCTGCGGTAAAGGTCGCAGCCACTCCCACAAAACTTTGTCATCCCGTGAAAAAAAAGTTGTGACGTAGCTGCGTTTACTATACTTGCGAAAAGATATTGCGTGAACATTCAGCTTTCGAACTTGCTGTCCTCGGTAAAGGCTCACAGTTGAGCTGATTCTTGGCATGAAAGGAAGACTGCCCCGGAACAAACATCGCGGAAACATTATAGGCTCTAATCAACGTCGCAGTTGAACTTCAGGGCGCATGCATCAGTTCACAATACGGGCGATTTACAAGTTGGGGTGCTGTGTGCATCACTCCCACTGAAAGGATCGCCCGGCATGCGGGCGCTGAACATTTCAGTGCCGTGCACTTCGCTTCAAGCGAGCCTCCAAAGTAAGAATGTGTCCACAGCAGTGTTGCAGAAGGAGCACACCCCTCTCCATTCTAACTCCACTCCAGAGAACTGGATTTTCCGGTAATTGCATTTCTTTGAACTCCTAGGAATGAACACTGGGCCCATTCTCACTCTTAGAAGGGCTGACCCGTTCCATTCTATTCCTCTAATTCCCAACCGTGAAGAATAGCGCTTGCCGACAAATAACGTCAGTATAAAGGTGACGTTATCAAACGCACGGACAATTGTAAAAAAGAAATATGCAAAACAGTCCCAAAAGCATTGATTCCACTAAACCGAGCAGTGGTTGCATAATAGCGGCGCCGGGGGAAACTGGTATATGGTGGCACTGCAGAAATCGATCACTCGACAAAGCGTAAAAGCCTCGTAACAGACGGAGAAACATCAAGCCACACATATTCTTCACAAAAATGACCATATGTCCTCCACTTAGATACACGGCAAGTTAGGAGTCACGCATGCAAGAACCGCGAGCGGTGTGGCATTGCCCCTGCCTGGTGACCTACGACTGGTATACTGTAATCGCACATGGTCACAACAGTCACATTGTCGTGTCTCGCTGCGCCAGGAACGAGTCCTTGTCCGCCTACACCTCTGCAATCTTGGTTGCTTCACTGGGGGTGCCACCTTCATCCTCGAAGGAACATCGGCCGGCATCGGCACCGCTCGCTTAAGAATGAACAGAGCCCATCCCATTCCCACTCCATTTCGGGCAAAACCTTGTGTTCCATTTCCATTCCATTCAGTGCTGCCGCCATTCGATTCCCATTCTATTCCAGGGTCACGGAAGGGTGGAATGATTCCGGAATCGTCCGAACTCCGGATTGGCCACTATGCAACACCGGTCCAATGACGACCGTGTCCCTCTGTGTTGCTTCTTCACACTGCAACGCAGAACAGGTGAGCCCCGAATGAGGGACGAACGAAACAGTGAAAATTAGCACAAGTGTTGATCATGTTCCACATAACCAGAAAATGGGGTAAAACATTGTCGACTTAGTCGAAGAAAAATGGACCGAAATCGATGCGGCCGCCACGCTGATTCTCTAAGAAGTGCGTTAACAT